ACACACACACACACAGTATATACTGTATGAGTATACACATATAGGTGGCCAAAATTTCATCCATCACTTCTACCTTTGCCATATGGAACTAATCCACAGCAGCAACGTGAGTGTGTGTGTGCATTAGAGGGTATGTTTGTGTGCACGTGTATATACGTGTGTCTGTGTGTATTGATATTGTTGAAGTTATATTAAGTGTGTCTTATTACTGAAGGAAAATGATGCTTTATGTGTGAATGCTGTGTGTGTTTGAGTGTGTGTCTGTATACAGGTGTGTGGGTTAAAGTAATCTTGCCTGGGTCTCTAACCAGGTCTTTCCACAGTGAACCGGCCTGATTACATTTCTTATTCATACCTACGTGCACACACATGCACACCCTGACGCGCACACCGCTGCCTCACCACTTCTATAAATTCATAAAGCTTTTTTTTTCTGTCTTTTGCTGCCCTGTAAAGCATTTTGTAAAGGGATTTGTTTCATTTAACATTCTCTTTTTAAATAAAGCTGACTTGAGTCAACTCGACAACCAGACTATAAGTGTGATGTTTGTTACCCAGAGACTATTCTCACCATGACAACTGTCTCTGTGGGGGAAGCAGAGGTGTTACAAACACAAAAAAATAACATGCATGCACATACATTGCAACGCATATACACTAATGACAAATAAATGAACAGTTGCACTTGATGCCATCCACACACACACACAGAAAAATGACTATCACAGAGAGCCATTTCCATATGATGAAATATCACTCACACATGGACACACAGGCTTTCCTTCAGTCACACACAGTCTCACATTCAATAACAAGCATAGACACACACAGACACACAATAACAAACACACACACAACGCTCATTTCACACGTTGTTTCCCAGCTGTGAGGTCAGAGAGGTGCAATCTGTTAACGTGAGAAAAACTGATGAATCTGTCTTCCCTGTCAACACACACTCTCACTCTCTCTCTCACACACACTTACACACACACACACACACACACCCATCAGAATAACTGGGTCAACTACGTTCCAGCACATACTGCCACATGAGACCAGCTGTTTTCACAAATACTATTGAGAATTTAAGATTTTTCTTTTCTACATCAGAAGGCAGCAGAAGCCTCAGCTGTGTCTTTCAGCCACTGAAGTGCCTTTGAGCAAAGCATTTAACCCCCAGCTGATGTGGTGGATCTGCACTGTAGTGTTGATCTGTTTAGAACAGTTTTCTGTCAGTGTGCCCTGCACGAATAAAGGTTTGAAATCTCTCACAGTGTAACAGTGTGATTTCACCGGGAAGGTTCACAACTACATACTTGTCATTAGTAAAGTGAAGTGTTAAAATAGTATTTTCATACAAAAACATCAATCTTTCGTAATTTGACCTGAAAGCTGTAAGATTATATACACACACAATAACACAATACATTAACACAGTAAGTGTAGACAAATGTGATAAATGTTGCTGCTGTTTGTCTTCTGACTTTGACTGTAACAACACAAGTTTTTCAGTATAAACTGAGTTAAGATTGTTTGTCAAACAATACAACTTATGGCCAAGCTAGACAGACAAAAACTACTTGGTTAGGTTTAGACATGAGTAAGTTACATTATATAACTGACCTAACTTAAGTAAATTAATTAAATGTATCTAAAAATATTCAATGAGTGTAATTAAAGCTGCAAGCAGCGATGAACGGGCCCCTCGCAGTACGCAGGGGATGAGAGAGTACTAAGGACTAAGGAACAAATGAGGAGGACGAGAGAGAGAGTATTGTGTCATTGTATAAGTAGTATTTATATGTGCTTTGGCAACAAGTTTGATTTAAAAAGTCAATAAATAAACGTGCCAATAAAGCCAATTAAATTGAAATTGAAAATTGAGAGAGAGAGAGAGAGATAGAGAGAGAGAGAGAAGGAAATGACAAAATCTGGTTACCAGTGGTTTTCTCAAATCAATGCAAAGGGGGGTCACCCAGATCAATAGTAATACAGGCTGGCC